AAAACTTACACCTCAGGAGTTCTTACCTGTCGGGATCCTTCGGGAAATGGTAGAAGGCCAGGTGCGGGGTGTTTCTCTTTAAGGACAAAGAGCATGGATACCAAGAGGCGAAGCTTCGTTGAATTTCTGCCAACAGCCACTAGGGGCGCTGCTGCCATTTTGGACTGTTGAGCTTGGACTGTTGCGCCCTGACAACATGCAAGATGTCAAGGAGAGAGGAGAAAAAAGTAAAAGAAAACAGTGTAGTGCAATTAACTGCAACAACTATCAGTGGAACACCCCGCACCTGGCCTTCTACCGTTTCCCAAAGGATCCCGACAGGTAAGAACTCCTGAGGTGTAAGTTTTAAAGTGTTTTAATATCCATTTAATATGCCAGTTTTGGAGGGAAGATAACACTTATAGAAGATTAACTTAATTACTCCTTCAAAATCACCCCATAAGCCAATCTACCAAAAAAAAAAAAAAAAGTATGTAATATGTAGAGATGCCATCTAGGCCGTTTTTCTTTGTTTTTTTTAAAGTCTATTTTTTGCTTTACAAAAACGTGAAAAAGCAGCTGTGACCAAGCTATCACGAGGTGAGTAGCATTGTAAGCATAATTAATAGCGATATACTTCAGTTTGTCTGTGTGTTTTTGTATGCAAGCGGGTCTGCTGCGGTCTGCTGACAGTCCAATATGGCGGCGGTAGGACGAAACCATGGGGGAGTCTGTTGCTATGGGGCGTTCTATTGAGCTTCGCCTATTCCATGCTCTTTGGTAAGGAGTTAGCGTTAGGAGTTAGGAGGGATCTGTTAGGTGCGATGAGTAAGGTAACACGAGAGGTTCCTAACAGGAAGTCTTTTTCAGCTTGAGGCTCTGACATATAAATACCTGCCGCCTACATCTGGCTCTTTTGAACAAGATGGCGGAGAAACAGCGCAAGTGTAGGCCTACCCGTTACATGCATTCTTTGCAATGACAGGCTGTAATTCACATGCCTACGTGACTACAAAGAGTAACGTTAATGATATTTCGTGCAAGACTGCCATGTTGCCACTACGCACGCACACACGCGCGCGCGCACACACACACACACACACACATTTGCCCATCATTAATTGTCCTGCATGTCATGTGAGTGGAACGTTTAATAGCTTGTAGGTAATATTAATTAGCCTATTAATATTAATTAATATTATTACTTTCATTAATGTTGTTATAAGCTACTGTCATTACCGTCTGTCCTGCATCTCTCTCTGTCTCTGTCTCTGTTTCTCTCTCCCTGTCTCATTGTGTCATACAGATTACTGTTAATTTATCATGTTGATCTGTTCTGTATGACATCTAGGCTATTGCACGTCTGTCCGTCCTGGAAGAGGGATCCCTCCTCAGTTGCTCTTCCTGAGGTTTCTACCGTTTTTTCCCCGTTAAAGGTTTTTTTGGGGAGTTTTTCCTTATCCGCTGTGAGGGTCCTAAGGACAGATGGATGTCATATGCTGTAAAGCCCTGTGAGGCAAATTGTGATTTGTGATATTGGGCTTTATAAATAAAATTGATTGACTGAGGTAGACTGACAGGTCTGATGTCTTATTCACTCAGCAGCTGACTTGCTGAATGATGGCGAGTGGATTTAATAACAGTGATAATAATGATGATAATAATAATGATAATGATGCTCATCACAGTGACAGTGGCAGGGCTACAGGTTCTTTAATTGCGACAAACTTTGGCAAATGACTCAATAACAATGGTAATACATGCAAAGGTGTGTGACCAAAGTCATGACGGCGGGGGGTGGGGGTTACGGCTTTGATCAGCGAATATAATGTGACTTGGGATGTAGGCTACGCCAAACGCTGGCTCCGTTATGAAGCAGATCCAGCTGTGCCGCCCATAGGTGCCGCCGTCATCAGAAAAAGGACGTCGCTTTACGTGACGCTCAGAGTAAGGCCGTCTCATGTCTCAAATCAGCAATCCTCGCTCCTCACTCCTAACTCCTGACTCCTTAAATGTTTTCCTAAGTGGGAGGGACTAAACAGTTAGATAAGGTGGCTAGATAAGATGGTTAGCAGTAATTTTAAGGGACTTGGGACGTACCCTCTGACATGACTGCGTTTTTTTGTGACTGTCCCCTTGCTGCTACTGCCGCCTGATCTCGCCTACTTTCCAGGGGAGGCGCAGTTCATCGGGAACCAGCCTGTCGGAATGAAGCCCTTGAACCCAAGCAGAAAGCATTACATCCTCCTCAACACTGAGGGGCGATGTGGCTGACTGGGTGTGAGCAAGTACCCCCCCCCCCCCCCCCCCCCCCCCCCCCCCCCCCCCCCCCCTCTCTCTCTCTCTTCCCGCGTGTGTGTGTGTATGTGTGTGTGCGTGTGCGCGCGCGCGCGCGCTGATAAGCTTTCAAACTGCAGAGCTGCTAATCAGTCTGCACCGGACTTCAGGTTACATAAAACGATGCCTTCTCCAATCCCCGTGACCCGCCTACAGCCCAAAGATATATACCCCTCCCTGGACATCGGGACTTGCAGCAGCCCGCTGACCAAATCCTGCTTCGGCAGCACCTTACAGGTCCCCGTTCAGCGGTTCCACGGCAGAGTTGCCAGCCGACTGTGGTCCACTGTGATCCACTGGAAGGAACTGCGCTCCGTGCAGCCTGTAGGCTCCGGAGGGTTCGGCTCCGTCTACAAGGCAGAATACCTCGGGAAGCTTGTCGCGCTGAAGAAAGTTAAGAAGTGCACCAAGAACAAGCTGGCGTCACGGCAGAGCTTCTGGGCCGAGCTGAACTCAGCACACCTGCGCCACAGAAACATCGTGCGCGTCTTCGCGGCGACCACCTGCGTCCCGCCAGATTTTGGAGATGAAAGCAGCATCGGAACGATCCTCATGGAATTTGTGGGGGACCGAAACTTGCAGCAGATCATTTACGGATGTGTAGAGCCGCTAGAGACAGACAGGTGGCTCAAGTACTCCGCAGACATTGTACACGGCTTGCGGTTCCTTCACTCCCACAGCGTTGTGCATCTGGACATAAAGCCAGCCAATGTGTTGGTGTCCAGTGAAGACATCTGCAAAATTGCAGATTTCGGCTGTTCTCTGAAACTGGAACATGGATGTGAAGTTAGCGTTATCAGCCCGCATCTGAGCCACGTAGGCGGCACGTATACACACAGAGCCCCGGAGCTGCTGAGAGGCGAGGGGCTGTCTGCTAAAGCGGATATCTTTTCTTTCGGGATCACATTGTGGCAACTGATCACCAGAGAGCAGCCCTACACCGGCGACAGGCAGTACGTGCTCTACGCGGTTGTTGCGCACAACCTGCGGCCGTCTGTTGAGAACCATCCGGTGTTTCGGTCGGAGCATGGGCGGCTGTGTAGGAGCCTGCTGAGCCGGTGCTGGAGCAGAGAGGGCCGCCGCAGACCTACTTCCCAGGAGCTACTGCCTCACCTGGAGCAGCTGCGCTCCCACATATGAGTTTGTTTTATAGCTGGTGCACATGTGTACTGACAGCTGTGGACAATGACATGTTTTAGGTACATTTTAGAAGCTACTTTCAGGACCAAACAGTAGACTATCAGTGTCTTATGCTCACAATAATATCAAATCCGATTTAAAATAGCAAACAATTCAGTGCTGAAAAACATGGTGATCTTAAGTGACCTTAAGGAAATGTAATCTTTACCATGACAAATCACTTGTAGTAAAAACTGCTCTGAAGCTGACTTATGCTCACTCCATCTGGATTGATGCATTTTTGGTTGCATAACAATTGAATTACTTGTATAAAGCCTCTGTAATAATGTGCCTAATTGAAGAGGCTCCTAATGATTAAGCATAGACACTGTTGTTTTCCTAGCAGTATGAGGCTTAATTGTGCTGTGTGCTGAGTAAGGCATCTTGAAAATAATTGAGTGGAATTTGGTGAAAAGTTCCTTAAAAACTCTCTACGCTGCTCCAGGTAAAAATATTCATTTCTCATCATTTTTAGTCCAAAAGGATTACATGAAAATAAGTGAGACAGTAAACCATGGTGCATTTGCACATTTTTTTTTTCAATCTAGATTTGCCATTAGTGTCTTTAAAAAAGGCACTCCTTTGGTATCAAGAAAACCAACTTTGACTCAAGGAGGTATGCATCTATCCAAGTTGGTTTGGACCTTTTTTAGAAGCACATTTGAGAGTCACTGTTGGTTAAGGTGTACACTTTGCCAGCACATTATATTACCAGTCCCTAAAATGGTTTAAAATGTATTTAGCCTTCACCGTAAACACATCCTTTGTCTTTTCATTTGACAGCTCAAACCGTCCACACTAAGTTGCTGTGAGAGCTCTGACTTTGTTTTAGCAAATTTTTCTTAAACTATGGAATCAACGTGTTGTGAATCGAATTTGATTTGCCATGATGAGATTGTAATGTGAGATTTAAGTGTGATAGGTTTTCATTAAAATTATTTTTATACTACATATGTATTTTTGCTTCTCAGCTCTTCCTTGCACCATGTGCACAGGTCACTAGTTCATCTCAGGCTAACATGTATAGACAGATATTTTAGAGTTTCTTTTTAACCTGACCTGCATTCAGACTGTGGGAGGAAATCCACACAGCCACTTGAAGAACATAAGACTGGCTTTTCAGATGGGCTCTACCTCCCTTATGTCATGATAATGGGAAGTAAACAATAGCATGAACACTTGGGTTTCCAAGAAGCAGTTTTACAGAGCCATTTAGATCTACTTCACAGAGAAAAACCCAGAGCTCTGTTTAATCTAGAACAGAATAATGTAAAAAGACCTACCCTGGGTTTCACCTAGCAAAGTTATATGGACAACTCAGTTGACCTGCCTCTTGTAACGGGCGTGATGATCATATTTAATTGATAGTCTTTTTTTTTCTCCCCCAAAATAAAACCTAAAAGAAGGGTCAACCTAAAAGTTTAACATTTCAATAAAATGTTTACTGGTAAATTTATATATTTAGAATAAGCTTAACTGTTGTATTACAGCCTAGCCAATACAAATATTAACACATTTTAGAAATAATATAGATGTGTTAAACATCAAGAGGAATCAAATTTACATGTGAATATTTCCATTGTCTTAATGCCAAGTCCATCATGTCAAGACTTTGATAATTCTATCTTTTTATTATATTGTGTGGGTGAGATGGACCCTTTTCATTATTTTTAAGATATTTGCAAAAAAAAAAATTCTTTGTTAAAAAGTGTGCATCCTCTGACATTATGTGACATCTGAACCTCTGGAACAATTAGGGAGTGGAGAACTGTCTTAACATTTATGAATGTTTATGCATGCATAAAAATGAAAATTAAGCTTTGTTGAATGCTGTGCTGCTGCCATGACACGTCACCTTCCAGAGGCCTATTGGCTGATTTACTGCCTGAGGGAGGGAATTATGGATAGACATGAGTGTAGTTGTTATCAGATTCATTTAAAGTTACCTTAAACGTCTTCATACAAAACTCATCTGATCTACCTCTTACTAAGATATCTTTTTGACTCACAAGTCAAAGTTTAGGACCATTCTTAAAACTGGCTCAGGCCCAGTCAGTCAGTGTATGCCTGTGGATATTCTCATTTATCCAGGTCATAGTTATCTCAAGGCAATTGAATCGAATGCAACTGGACTTAGTTTTGTCTTAGAAGACATTTCACCTCTTATCCAAGAGGCTTCATCAGTTCATGCTTGACTGACTAGAACTAGAGGCTGTTTACACGTACACGGTGATTTTGATAAACGGAGACATCTTCCTTCGTTTGTGCCCTTCGTTTACACGCAAATGGAGATTTCTCCTCTGAAAACGAGTCTTTATAAAAACTCCGGCCAGAGTGGAGATTTTGGAAAAATCCGGTTGCGAGTTTGCATGTAAACTAAGATAAACGGAGATAAACGGAGTTATAGGCAGCCGACGTCACAGTATGCGCCAGAACTTGCGCCTGTGTAAAAAGAGCGACCTATGTTGCTATGGTGACAATGGATACATGGAAGGCTTGAGCTTCTCGTTACACTGCCACCTACAGGTTTGGCATGCTCTTGTGTATATATACATGGGTAAGTGTAAACGAAGCTCTTTTTGAAAACAGAGACAGTGAAATGTCCGTTTATGAAAATAGCCGGCAACGTGTAAACAGCCTCCTAGTCTGACAAACTGGTGTGGAAACCCAGGTGTTTAACCTCTGAGGAGGCCTTCACAAGGCCACTGATGTCATTGGTCCGTTAGTGCTCCAAGGTGTGTCAACAACGGTCGCTGAAACTCCTGCTGCTCACCTGCTTCACCTATAATGCTGTCCTTTCATCCTTGCCCCCGAGATTTAACAGCTTAACCTCTAAAAACAATGGTCGTTCACAAATGGCCTCCTGTGACTCAAATGACTCCAATGACCACCGTTGCAGCAGGAGTTTCAACGACCACTGTTGCAGCAGGAATTTCAACTACTGTCGTTGACACACCTTGGAGCACTAACGAACCAATGACGTCAGTGGCCTTGTGAAGGCCTCCTCAGAGGTTAAATACCTGGGTTTCCACACCAGCTTCAATTGCCTTGAGAGTCATTGTATGTATAGGCTAGGAGGAAATATATGTGAAAGAAATATTACACTAAGTTGTCTCACATCATAAATGTGTTGTCTAATAATTCAGAAGGAGAGCTAGGTGCTGCACTAGCCCTTTAAATATCACATCAACTTTTCCTTCATCTCTCATGCAACACAAACTGCTGCGCAAAATCTCTTCAGTGACAATACACTACTGTCACCTTTCACCAACAGACAGTAGAGGTCAGTCCTGCTTCAAAAATCAAAGCAGAACATTAGATGATTGGACAGCAGATTATAGGTTACCTGCAGATTTTAACAATGAGCTGCAGATTTGGCTGACTGTTTTACTTTTTATAGGATACAGAATGTACACAGATATGGACTGGTTTAACTACACAAATCAGAAAGTGCATTTAAGCATGTGGAGACTGCAAAGTCAGGGCAACTCCCACAAATAGTGTTAGAAATTAAAAACCAAATTCTTCATCAGGCTGTGTTATTGTCATGGCAAAGTCTGCATTAGACAAAAAAAAACAAAAAACAACGAAACAAACGAAACAAAACAAAACATAAAATCAGGAGAAGCCACATCATCATTATCCTCTCAGTAACATAATCTCTATTCAGATATTTATTGTTTAATAGTACAAGTGCAAACTACACTTTAGTATGAAATGAAAAAAATCTCGATATTTCATATAATACAATATAATGATATAATGATGGACTGTAAACACCATTCATTACTATCCTGGACAACTTTTTTTGTTAGAAACCCTGCTACAAACATATCTTACTGTCAATATGTAAACAATGATACATACAAATCCATGGCTATTTTAGATTTAGTCTTAGTCTTGAGAAGAAAATGCTTATTAGTCGTAGGGACATTTTAGTTGTTTTTATCCTTCATAGTTTTAGTGTAATTTTAGTCATGATGCTTTCTATATGTTTTTACTTTTTAATCTTTAAACTAATCCAGTGAGGCTGACTCATGTATCAAAAATTAGGATTAAGGTGACAGGTTGTATAAAATTATATTTTAGACAGTTTTTTTCAACTACAAATAATTACTGCACACATACAAACTGTCATTTCTCCAGCAGTTTTGACACATTGAAGGGGTGATTTACTAGCACACACTTACTGATCATCATTTGAAAAGCTCAACATCTCTCTGATTATGCTCTCAAAAACTTTGACACCACAAATAACTAATCTGAGACAAGACTTTGTTCCCAGCATAGACTGTATGGTTCCCAGCAGTGCCGCAGAATATAAAAGAGTCGCGACAACGGAAGTCCAAAATGCTTGTGCATCACGTGACTCATGTAGACCTCGATAGTTCCTGGAAGTTACTGGCGGGCCGTTTAAATACATAATACTGAGAGACAGAACTCCGATTTTTGGTATGTAGCTGACAACTACATTGATTTATAATATATGTGTAGCACACCATAAACAGTTACATCTTTATGTTGTTTTTTAAAGTAAAATGTGCTAATATTTGAGGATTGTTAGTTAACTAAGGTTAGGTAAGACTCTATTAATCCATTATTCGACAAGGGAACACATCTCGATACAACACCGGCCATACCAGCCCAGTGACGCGGCGGCCCACCGGGAAAACTCCCGGTACTCCTGATGGCCAGTCCGCCTCTGACTACAAGCCTGGCGGGAGCTAGCTGAGCATCGGCGGTGAGTTAGCCTGTTTGCTAGCGCATGACATGGATTACTACGGCGGGAGGAGAGTGAAGAAGGAGGAGAGGGGAGACAAGGAGGAAGGAGCATGCGGGTGGTCAGAGGACATGGCCAGAGAGTTTGCGAGAGCTGCATGTGAGGCGAAGGAGCGCCCGAGAGAGGCTACTGTGAAGATGGCTAGCGATGCAGGCATGACTCCGTCATCGGCGGCTCGCGGCATTCCTCCTCGCACCGGAAGTGATGGGATGGGACTAAGCATGGCGGTGGCCGCCATCCAGCAGCTGTCATCTCCGTGAAAACACCTAAATACTCTGGTAGGTCGGACTGGGAGGCTTTCCATGCCCAGTTTGAACTGCTGGCTCATGCAGAGGGGTGGTCAGTGGAAACTAAGGCACTACAGCTAGTGTTATGTCTCACGGATGATGCTTTGTCCTGTCTTCTGCTGCTTAGTGAGGAGGAAAGACGCAGTTATCAAGCTTTAGTGGGAGCTCTGAAGAGGCGATTTGGACAGTGTTTACTGCCTGACTTCCTGCGAAATGAACTGAGTAATCGGGCTAGAAAACCTGGGGAGCCATTGCGGGTGTTGGCCAACGACATAGAGAGCCTGACGCGGCGGTCTTATGCACACATGCCCCCTGGGATACAGAGTGAGCTGGCACGGGACCAGTTCATCAGAGCTCTCCTTCCTATTGAATTGCGGGTCCAGGTACAGCTGCAGCACCCTCAGACCTTGCAGGCGGCCTTGGAGATGGCTGTGGAGAGGGAGAATGTGTGGGGTGTAGCTGCTGGGAACTGCCAAAAGTTGAGCCCGCCTGCGGTGAGGGCTGCGGTGGGAAGTGCCCCAGAGGAAGAGAGGCCGGCCTGGGTGTCCGAAGTGACCGAACTATTAAGGGCTGTGTCACTACAGGCAGCAAGTCAGCCACGCCCCGGCCCCGGGGTCTGCTGGGGATGTGGACAGCCAGGACATTTGATCAGAGAGTGCTCCAAGTCACGCAGGGGGCAGGGAAATGGCTCGGGGCCTGCATAGAGGGGGATATGCGGACCCCAGCTCCAACCCCAATGCCAACTTTCTCTTCTCATACCTCTCTAGCAGCAGGAGGAGCCCAACAACATAGCCGGGGAAGCCAGGCTCCACTTCCCTCAGAAGCGGAAGATGACACAGGTTTGGAGCTGGTCATCGCAGTGGGACGC